GGATACTCAGGTGCTCAGAAGTTGAAAAAGAGTAGGCGAGAAAAGAAAAAAAGAGAGAGAGAGAAATAAAGAAAAAGATTCGGATATCGCTTCCTGTTCTCACGAAGCCACCCTTTTTCTTTCTACCCCTGCGCTGACGTATCAAGAACAATTTTTCAAAAGCGGCTCACGTAGCACAGATGCGATATGCTTTTTAAACGACAAAGCTACGCCGAAGTTGCGTGTGTTCGCACGAAATACCCCGCATTCGTTCGCTTGCGTGTCTGCCCATGACGTACATACCTATATCACTGTGCATACTTTTGTGTATGCGTGCAAATCTGTATGCATATATATATATATGTATATCGAGATTCTTGGTAAAGTTAGAAAGCACTCAATTTCAGCTACGTCGTTGGAATTTATAGCAATGAACAGATAATCGAGAAAAATCGTGCGGTAATACAAAACCCCGGAGAGACAACAGTCTGTTATACGATACGATTTCCACCGCAAGAAACTCCTTCAAATCTGGCCGATAGATTTTTATCCGTGATAGGAGAAAGAGAGAGAGAGAGAGAGAGAGAGACAAACAGACAGACAGAAAAGCTTACGAATTGCTATAATTTACTATGGCACAGTCATAGAATTTTAATCGATTGTATAAGACAACTTTGATAAAATAAAATATATATATATATATTACATATAAATTTATTGTAAAATTATGAACAAATTTATCTATAAGAATTAAAAATGATTCGGTATAATCTGTGAAATGAATGAAAAAAGTGAACGTCAGGAATAAGTCTAGCTTATTGATGAAAAATAGAATAATCGTACTTTTTACGGATTAACAAAAAATATTATAGGAAAATATAGTCTTTGTCAATACTTTTGTACACTGTACTTTATACTTTCATTCAAACTTTTTTTTTAAATACAATCAATTTCATTATCGACGATCTATAAAATCTCAACAGATGATTTCATTTTGAAGAAAAAGAATGAATTAAATCTTCATCATAAAAAAGAAATATTAATCTTTTATTTACATATCAATAAAATCATGGAATAATGGTCTGATATTGAAGTAACAAAAATTAGTATTCTTATAAAAGACAAAATTGCTAACATTAAATTATATTTCTATCTCATTTTTCTCTTTCATCCTTATGACTCTTTTACATTCGCATTGAAATATGTATATTCCTGACACTTAAAAGACATAAACATGTAGTCTAGACGTCAGGTCCACCCTTTCTATTCTCTGATTGCATCCAAAGAATGCAACCACGATCTCGTCAACGCAGACCCTCGTCGACTATCTTCACGCACGACAATCTAGAAGACAAGTGCCTCCTCTTCTTCCTTTTCTATTTTTCCTTTTCCTTTTTCTTGTTTTTTTTTCCTCTTCTTCTTCATTTTCCTCCTATCTTTTTCTTTTGCTCATCGTGAATGATAGCATCCACAGTATACTATAAGAGACATTCTCTTTCTCTTTCTACATTTTTCTTTTTTACTTTAGTTTTTATTTGTAATCTTAAAACGAAACAGACTGACAGAAAAGAGAACAATAAGAATGTTCTCACCATTCTCGAGTAAAAGACAAAAATTATAGATTAACCCTTTGTACTATGTTGATTTTTTTTCGTTACTTATTAGAGATTAATTATAAAAAAAATCATTTTAGATTATTTTATTCAAAATATTATACATACTCATTAATAAACTATAAAAATATTCAAATAATTTTATCATTTTATTTTTAATCCCTTTGCAATATAATTATTTTCCTCGTTTACTCTAAATCAACTTACAAGGGGAGTGCAAAGTCTTGCCCTCACGGATTTTGTTCAAATTTTGTAGGAAAAAAGATTTTGCTTCCCTGTTCACGAATATATATGGTTATAGGGACCACTATTCAGTAATTTTTTAGATATTTGCAATTAAAGATAATAAATAAAGATGCCGTTTAATCCTTAAATTAATTTCGCAATTCTCAATGATCAAATTCAAAAATAATATAAATATAATATTAAAAAATGATATTTATATAATATTCAAAAATAATAGCTTCTATAACCATATATATTTGTAAACAGGGAAGCAAAATCTTTTTTCCTACAAAATTTGAACAAAATTCGTGAGGGCAAGACTTTGCACTCCCCTTGTTAGATTTAAAATGTTTTAAAGTTTTAATATTTCACATGTATTTACGTACATATACTAGGTGTTCTAAAATATGTCTAGGAAGTAACGTAAAGGGATAACTTATGAGTTTGTTCATAATTTTCATAAAAATTGTTCCAAATGATTACTTTCAGATTCAATGCAAACTTACAAAAGTCTTATCATAAATTTCACTCATTAAAAAATACCAAACGTTGTTTAAATTTGTCAACGTCTCAATTTTAAATAATTTTTTGTTAATTTTTAGTCATAAACTATTTTTGAAAAAATTGGATTTTTTTCAGTAATAGTTTTTTTTTTTTATAGGAAGAGGAAAAGGTGAAATTAAATGTTACGTTAAAATTACATTAAGTAAAATAATGTGTTTTTCCATCAGTGTTGACCCCATAGCGTAAAAGATTAAAGATACGATGAAGATTAAAATAAAACGAAATAGTAGAAATTATGAGAGATGAAGTAGCAAAGTAAGAAGATGAAGGAGAAATAGGGAAAATAAGTCTTCCGAGCATATTTACTTGCGATTCGAGGGATTTAGATTGAAATAACATCGCGTAAGCGAGCGACAGGATGGATCGACGGATAAAGCTCATGAAACGAGGTCGAAAAGGGAAGAGGAAGGAAAAGCATCAGCTTCTCTTCGAAAATATATAAATATATACATATATATAGTATATATATATATATACGTGTATATTGACTTCCACCAAAAGACACCTTCAACATTTTCTTCAGTCACGATGAAATAGCTTTGAAATTGCCTTAAAAAGAAAGAAGATTTTCAACCAGACTCTATTGCAAAAAGATTGTCTTATATTCTATTTACATACGTGACAAATAATGCAAATATCGTGCAAGGCAATAAACGATATGAAAATATATCTCAATGATAAAAAAGAAATTTGTTAAAAACATAAAAATATAAATAAATAAATATATATATAGGTTTTAACGTATATGAAAAAATATCATAAATTTATATTATTCATGTATAATGTTATTTAAAAAATGAGTAAAATGATTAAAAATAATATTTATTACTTGTCCTCTCAAATCAATCGAGCATGAAAAAATGATATTGTTATTTCAAATTATTTTATGTACATTTAAAAAAAAAAATTATTAAATCAGTTATGTAAGACACAGATGTAACTGCCAAGATACAAAAATCCTTATAAGTTACGTTTGAGAAACACCATCTTCGAAGAGCTCTTATTTCGTACCTACTCGAGATCCTTCGGGTTTTACCCTTGTCTAAAAGAAGGATCAACTACTGACGTTGACGAGTATCCTTCGAATTGGCTGACAAAATGTCCAATACCGTTCTCCCTTTAATATGTCAAAATATCAAAAATGTTTCTTCGCGAAGATGAGACTACTTTGTTTTCTTTCTTTTTGCTTTGTTTTTATTTTGAATTTTTCAAATAAACATTAATTTACGTTTTTATTATTATTACTTTTTTTTTTTCTATGTTAAAACGTGATTTGTTAGCTTTCTAAAAAATAAATTCGAAGATCGGTAAAGTTTTAAAGCTATTCGTTATAGTTCGTTTCATGGTTTTGAATAGTAATTTACGTAACTTCATTGATAAACAAGAACTGAATGAAAAGTCGATTCGTATGTATGAGAAAATTTGCAAAAATGGACGGTCTGTATATTCAGTGGAATAGAGACTTGATTTTCGGTTACATATTACGGAAGCTTCCGATGAATCGATCAGAAGTCAGCCAATGGGCGAGGTATATTTACACGAGATGATGATACGATATGAATCACTTATCGTCTACATGTAATAGAAATGCTCTGATGATCATCTCCGAACATTTTAATGTGAATTGAAAAATTCGAAATTTAAGAAAATAAAAACCAATCTATTCTTCTTCGTTTATAGTTCAATTTTTTATTTGACTTATTTATTTTTCTTTATAGATTTATATTATTTTATTCATAATTAATATTAAAAATGCTAATAAAATTATTAATGGATACACACGAGTTACCGTTTATTGACCATTTATTTAACGTTCAAATTTCACGTTAAAAAATAAAACTACAAGATTAATGAAGTAACAACGAATATGAACGAAAAGGGAAACAAGTTGATGGGATAGATTGTAGAGATTTGTATTATTAAAATGCTGACCATAATAACGAATCCATCTAAAAGGAACAACGTTGCAATGGCCAAATGCCAACGATCGAATATTCCATTACAAAAACAGCCAATGTCTAAATGTCTCCGTTTCAATGTCACCCTCTTCTGTCCTCGGGCATATGCAGAGGCTTTTATAAAAAAAATTCCCTCATTTCCTGGCTAAAGAAGGATACAGAAAAGAAGAAAAAAAGAGTTGATGTGAGAAAGAAAATTTATAAGTATTAATCGTATTGAAATATCATATTATAAATCATTAAAAAAAATTATTTATACACAAATTAATAAATATATTAAAATATTTATTATTATTAATTCAAATAATACTTAAAACTCTTAGAAAAGATACAGGGAAATGTTTTAATTGGAAATTTCTAATCGTTGCTTAAAATAAAACTAGACTTTTCTTGAAGAACCTTCCTAAAATACGGAAAATAAATAAAGGAAAGAAAAGAGAATTAAAGTAGCGGTAGGAATCAAAATCGCAATATCCACAGGTCACGCTCGCACGAAGGCACGTGTAACATTTGCGTTACTTTCAGCGTACGAAGAAAGAAATAGACCAACGATAAAACCGACAAGGTAGATTTGCTTGTTGGTTTAATTTAGTTTAGCTTGGTCAATAGTTTGGCTGTTATTGTACTTGAACGGCTGTGGCTGCTGGCATTGCTGTTGTTGTTGTTGTTGCTGCTGCTGCTGCTACTGCCTGAGAGTGCCGAAGGACCACCCTCTTCATTTGCATACCGGGTGTACCCACGTAAATACGACTTGGAAAAGTCTGCAGCAGGCACATCAAAGGGACGCAGCTCGAATTAAACCCACGTTGGCATTGTTCGCAAACAGCCTGCTCGAGAGATATCGAAGCTTTGCCATCGACAGGATCGATCGATGTTGTTCGAACTAATTTCTGAACATATTAGACTTTAGACTACAAGTTTTATATCTTTCTCTAATTTCTGTATAGATTTTTCTTTTCCTATTTTCTAAGTCCTAATTAAATTTTATTTTTGATATTATATATTTCTTCGGTGATCAAAGCAATACTTTGACAAAATTTGATTATTGAAATATGATGATAACAACTTAGTAATAATAAACGTAACATATGTGTTTGTTCTATACTACTTTAAATTTAACCTTCGCAAACATTCGACTTAAAATTATCAACAAGTTATCCATTAATTCATAAAATACAACAAAATCTTAACACGTTGATCGCCATGCTTCCCATATTTGTATGATAACTATGTTTCCACGGGGGTCCCGTCATTCGTTAACGAGTGTCACTATTCTTCGTTTAGCGGTAATTTATAGTAATTTTATTTGTAACATAATTATGACGAGTATAGACAATATAAAGTAAATTATAAAGTAAACAAAAACAAACATTAGAAATATATTTATATTTAAATTTGTTTTGAAAATATTATATATAACAATTTATTAATTATAATAGTTTTTGTTAACACAATGAACGCCTAGCGCGAATCGGTGGAGTTTCCCCCGAGGCCCACATCTGAGACTCATAGTGTACACAGCACGATAAGCCAAGATAGCAATATGTGCAATGCATGCTTTAAATTTTTCGTTGTACATATCTATTAGAAAACTATTACAAAACCTGGCTATAGAAGAAGAGTATGATCAGGCTGATATTACCGATTCATCTAACAATATTTAGTTGAAGGAGTTCACCGGAAAACAAAGATTATTTGAATTCACCGGTAAAAGTGAATTTCTCGTAGATCTACCTACGTTATTTAAAATAGTTCATTCAATGAATTTTGGTTATTCTTTTCTTTTCTCTTAATAGAAAGTGATAATCACAAATCATTTTATCACTATATATATAAATTTAAGTGACGAATACATATATAGAGTTAATTATTTTCAATGTAATACTTTTTAAACCATACACAGTTAATTGCAAAGTGTGTAACAACTGATGTGAAATATACAGGAAGTTCAAAAAAACCACTTAATACTTATATGATATATAGGATATATATATATTCGTCACTTATACTTACATTTAACATAATTACACGTAGCGAGCAAATGTTAATTACGATAAATCCCTTCCTATAAGGAATATAATTCAACACGAATAGTTTTTATTGCAAAAACTTACGCAATTACACGTTATTATAATCTAAACATAAAAACAACTATCAATGCATTAAAAAATATGATTCATTTAGGCAATGAATTTGGTAAATATTCAGAGTTAAGAATTGTGTAATATTTTGTTGAAAGCATTATAAGATGTTTCGAGATCAAAAATAAGTTGTCTCACTTGTGTATCTGATAATTCATCTGAAGCTGACATATTATTCAATGTTTGTAACCATTCGGCAACCTTTTCCTTTCCATCAAAGTCACTAGGTAATATACTTAGACGATTCATAGTATCCATTAGATCCCTTAAATCTGGATGTAATTGATCCATTGCTTTGATTTCTAGTCGTAGTTTATCCATCAAAGTAATGAACAAAGAAACGATATCTGCAATACACTTAGAAGTATTTCCCTTGTCATCTTTGATCGTAATGGGTCGATCTTCTTTAATCCTTTCTAAAGCAGCTGGACAGTCCAATCGAAATGCTCTTGCAAATGCATCTATTGTAGGAAATTGGTCACTTTGTACCTAACAAAATATTCATATAAGATAATATTAATAATAAATAACGTTGGTCTATAAAAATCATATTCGAACACATACCTGCTTAAATGCTGCCCTATATTGAACTAACAATTTACTGCAAGCTGCAGTATACTCCTTCGGTGTAACACAATCTCTGATATAAGCCTTTTCCAAGTGTTGCAAAGTATTAACCACTGCATAGAGATCAGCTTGATTATCATGTTTTTCTCTTTCTCTGGCATTTTTGTATAATTTCACTTCTTCATATAACTCAGGACGATCTTGAGCTATAGACATAATTCTCTGTGGAATAATAAAAGAGTGAAAATATATTGAACAAAAAAAACAATATTAGAGGTTAGGTAGGCAAATGGATATAAGAAATACTTAATTAAGAGTCGATTCTAGAATCGCTAACGATGGTATAAGATAGAATATTGATTATTTTTGTAATGTTTTTATCATTACAGTCATATCAAAAATATGACGCATCAATGTCATAACATTGGTTGTATTGTCTCATGCATATAAAATATAAGATAAATCAAACAAAAGAAATTATAGTTATATAATACATACCTAAATAAACTTTTATGTCGTAAAAGATAGCGTCAAATTTAAATAACTGTATCAAAATGAACAATAACTTATTATTAATTTAATGGACACGATACAAAAAAAGCTTCTATGATGTTAGATACTAATGCAATCTACCGGGCAAACCATAAAATAAGATGACTTCTATACAACCCTAGCACAATTCAAATTATTATTATTATTATTATTATTATTATTATTAATTATTATTAATTATTAATTATTATTTATTATTATTATTTAGTTTTCTATTTGTCAGGGTTCGATAAAAAAAATTGAACAATAAAATAAAATTGACAAAAATTTATTGTCAAGAAAATACAATAATAAAATATATATAATAAATTATTGCAATACATAAAAATTGTATAAAATATAATGTACAAAATGTAGTATATAATGTATAATATTATAATCTCTTTACTCTTTCTAAATTATTTTAATTAAGATTATGTTTAATATTTATTTAGATTTATCCATTGTATTACACGATGGATAAATCTTTACATTTTTCAATTTCATTGCATTTTTATCATCAATATGAAGTTTTTCATGATTTTTATTATTATTTAAACAATTATATAAAAAAATTCTTCTAAGACTTGTCTTGAAAAATATACTAAACATTTATCTATATTTAATCCTTTCGCTACTTAAAAATTATATATTTCATTCATCACATTAACTCTTATATTATCGGACTTTTCTTTGCAAGAAGAAATTATTTTCTTCGCCTCCAAACATACACAATTAGATTCTTTCATCAGTACTTTTCCTTTTTTTCTATCAGGAATGTTAATTTGATTAAGAATGGCTCTTCTTTGCTCATTCGAAACCATTTTAATATAGGTTATGTTTAAAACCAATTTAGATTCGTCCATTATATCCCATGGTGGATAAATCTTTACAATGCTTTCTAATTTCATTTCAACCTTACCAACGATATCAGGTACAATATGTATAGTAATCATTCTATACGATGATTCACCCAAATTATCATTTTCTTGATTGCTATTATTATTTAAAAGATGAAAAGAATCATTTAAGACAAATCCTTCTAAAAATTGTCTGTTCATATGAGTTGTACATTTATCCACGTATACGTCTACGTGTGGGATTAAGGTACCATCGACATCTGCTTGCTTTACTTGATGCTGCCATATACGAACAAAAGATATTTGCCTACTTACTAAAGATTGTAATTTAGCTGTTAAACTTTTCCTAAATTAAAAAAATAATTATGTGTATACATATTAAAATATAAGTATTTGCAAATAGCGAAATATTTATAAAATATTAGCAAATAGCGAAAAATTTATAAAATATTAGCAAATAGCGAAAAATTTATAAAATATTAAAAATATTTACTTTTTCACTTTGCGTTGTTTCTTATTCGAATCTAATATTTGTAAAGACATTGCAGGAAAACTATTTATCTTCTCTGGAGATGTAGGAGTACTTATACAACTGGTTGAACTTGATGTATTATCAACGCTTCCATTAGAAAGCGAAGTTATTTGTGATATTTTCTCAAATGAATGTTCATTTTGAAACGCAGATGACTCCGATTTCATTGATTCTGTTTCAGAATAAGATGTTTCACCAAAATCTTTTAAAGATGCATTAGCCCATTTAGTTTTGATCTTGAAAGGAAATATACTCTTATTGGATTCTATTTTATAATATATTCCATCTAAATCTTTGCTAGATGCAACAGAACCTTTGTCTGTAACATCACATGAAGTTTTAAGTTCTGTATCAGATCCAGAAATAGAGTTATTTACTAAAGGAATCATATCCTTATTATTGTCTGTATCTTCTATCACAATGTTTTCATGATGTATTTCATCATCATCGCTTTTAAGATTAGTAATTTCTATTTGATCTGTAGTATTACTATCATCACTAGAAACAGATTCAATCACAGATGAATTTTCATCTATAGTATTATTCTTAATAATTACATTAACCTCTATCACAGGAGGGTTGGGCGGGGGAGAAATATCCTCATTCTTTAGTGCATACATTATTATTGAATGCTGTCTCGTCTTTTCCTCATCTTTAACGTAATCTATTTTTCTTTTCTTAGCGGCAGACATAGAAAATTCAGGACTTGGAGAATTCAAATTCTGCCGTTTGTTAAATGTATTCTTATCTGAGAAACAATTATCAATAATTATATCATCTTCTATAATATCAAAATTCGAGGAAGTAGGAACAATTATGTTCTTTGATGCATCAATTTTTTTTTCTTGATAAACTTCAATGCTATCTATTTTTCTTTGTCTTGCAGCAGACATAGAAAATTCAGGACTAGAATGATTCAAATGCTCCCATTGATTAAGAGTCTGTAAGTTCATATTTCTATTTCCATAATTAATAGTCTCATTTATATCATAAATTACCCTATTAACTTGACTATTTATAGTAACATTTACAGGCATAGAACATTCAGGATCAGAATGATTCGAATTCTTGCTTAGATTAAGAGGTTTTGAGATCATATCTATATCACTGGAGTTATTAGTTTCATCAACGTTAGAAATTACATTATCCATCTGAACATTCTCGTTAATGACTGCAGGTCTAAAATATCTAGGACGARAATGATTTAAACTCTCATATGGATCCGAAGGTATTGAGATCATATTTCTAATAATATAACTATCAGTCTTATTGAAGTTTGGTATAACATCATTCGTGGGTACACGAACAACCCAGGGAATAGTTGCAGGCATAGAACATCCAAGACCGGAATGATTAAAACTCTCATATGGAACCAAAGGTTGTGAGATTATATTTCTAATACTATAATGATCTGTCTCATTCATATTATTACTTTCAACAGCTATTTGATCATTTATGTTAAAAGTTACTGGCATAGACCATCCAGGATCAGAATGATTCGAATGCTCCCCTTGATTAAGAGGTTGTAAGTTCATATTTCTATTATCATAATTATCAGTCTTATGTATTACATGACTCTCAATAGCCATTTGAATATTGTTAGTAAAGTCTTGTTCATCACTCTTGTTGTGATCGTTTGCATCTCTAACTAATTCTGGAGATTTGTTCACAATCACATTTTGTGAACTATTGTTTTCAGAATTATTTACAGAAAGAATGTTGTTTATATTAAATTGATGATCATGTTTATATAACTCACTTTGTTTTTCTTCAGCGGGAGAATTAGATTTCTTTCTATATATCCGTTTCGAGCTACTAAGAATTGGTGACGTGCTAGCCTGATCATTTTTTTTAACATTATTATCTGACTCTGGTCGTTCATTATTCTGGTACTTACGAACACCCAAAATGGGAGATGCATTCGGTAATGATTTGGATGTAGATGCACTCAATAAAAATCCTTGTACTGGTTCAGTAAATTCTTTGCTGGACAAATCTTCATCATTATTGTGAATTTCAATCCAATTACGTACAAAATCCTTTTTTTCCGTTTTAGGTATGCCTTCCACTTCTTCATCAACTATAATTTTATTATCATTTAATCCTGTCGCTCTATCGACCGTATTTAAATTTAAAATAGTTTCACCAAAACTTAACTTCCTGACATGTTTAGGTTTCTCATTGTCATTCACAGCCATATCTGTCATATTTTCTTCATATTTGTCTTTTTTCTTCATGTCCACATTACTATTTTCTGCCATTTTAATAAAAAATGTATGATTTGAATTTAAAAATATATTTATATATTAAATTATATTTTAATATAATTTAATATTTTTAATTAATATTTATATATAAAATTAATTTATATATTAAAAGATATATATATATAGATTTGTAAATATATATGTATATATATTTATATATCTATAGATGTAAACAAAATTATTAACATTAAAAACTAATGATTCAACAAAGCGTACATTATATACAACGATAATACTGCATACTAATTGGCATAATAGTGTAGCACGTGTTTTTTACGGCGCCATGAAGTTACTAAAAAACAAAAAAATATATCACAGATAAACACAAATATCGAAAAATACGAAAGTTAAAAAAAATTAAAGACTAAAGTTGATAACAAAAGACGAAGTTAAAAGTTAATGACGAAAAAAACGAAAGTTTATCACGATAATTATAAATATTCTACTACAATTCAATATATTGCATACTTACAATACTTTCACGATCAACGAAATAATAACACTGGAAAAAAAACCTACGGCCAGCGATCTCAGAGATTTTAGTTCGTCTGATCGACACAGGGGGAAATTTGTGTTCCTTGTTTATTTCTCAATCCTACTCTAATAATATTTGGCGCTTTCTTTAAAATTTACCCTGATGCTAATGTGGCGCCACCTTAATTTAATGCATTTCGACGGACATTTTTTATATACACGGATGATTCTCCTTACCTCTACCCTTTATAACATTGATACATCCATGGAAACTGCTGTCGAACTGTGGCGTCAGCATGTGGACGCGCACAAAGGACCACGCCCTGGCATCATTAGTCCAGAAATCAACATTAGATTAGCGATCAAACACACTAATATTTCATTGATTAACAAAATAAGATAACTGTGAATAAATAAAAAGATTTTAAATTATAAAAAAAAATTTTAATTTTGCGATGCATCTTGTAAATCTGATGAAAAATTATGTGTAAACGGGTCTTAATCGATTGAAATTTTATACAATATGATTTCGATTTTACTTTTTTCTGAACTTTTATTTATTGTTATCAAAACAAATAGAGAAATTATTTTATCTTAAACTACCATAAATCAAATAAATAGTATAAAAATATGGATATTGTAAAAATATTTAAATCTCTAGTGTAATTTACAAATGAAAAAAAGACTTATTAAAAATCGATATTTATTATTATTTGTAAACAGTACATTTATTTTGTAAAATTTTTTAAATAACTTTTCTAAATAAATATATACATAGAACCACTCAATACTAGAATCTTAGAATAATACTCAAATAACTGAATAAAATCTTATGTCGCTAATAATCCCCATTGGTTGATGCGACATTAAATAAAGCTATAAACAAACAAAAAATCTCGATTCTGAATAACTATTGTATTGAGTAAATATTGCATGTTTAATGCTTTTGTAGTAGTCAGTCTATGAAGCAATCAGTTATGGTAAAAATAATTACTTCATGAAAATAGACTTGAAATTTGACGACTCTTGATCAAAGCTGTTGTTTACGTCTGTTTCCGTTGGCGTCTATGCTGCCGCCTAGTGTTAATAGCAGGAGATGCGCGTTGGTATTCGTGGTGTCGCCTATTGTCACTTGCGGGAAATAGGGATCCAATAGGAGGGATGCGCCATGTACATTGCTGGGGGACCGGAATTCGATTTTGCGCGCGAATGATTCAAACATTGAAATAATTATGAAATAATGAATTGCATCAAATACAGAAAAAAAAGAACTATATTTAATGATAATTAAAAATTTATATTAAAATAGAATAGGTTACACGAAAAAATTATTATAAATTCAAGCGGTCCCCCAAAATTTTCAGCCAATGGCACATGAGCTGAATATGAATGGCGCATCCCTCCTACAGGATCCCTAGCGGGAAATAATCGAGAAGTACGAAATTTTAAAAAAACCAACATGTGTCAAAATGTATTAAAATTACACATGTATCGAATTTTCAACAACTCAATTAATTATCAATGTAACGTAATAAATAAAATATTTAATTAATATGAAGAATTCAGCGAGTACGCTAGTTACAATAATTTATGATGTATAATTATAGTTTATTCGGATTAAAATCAGAAACAATTAAAGTTATAATTTATGCCTAGCAAATTACCATAAAATCAATTTCCAAATAAATAAGATTTATGATTAATTAGCAATTAAAGATATGTATATATAATCAAATTCCTAAAAAGCTATTTATCATAACAACAAGAAAGATTGATATCTTAATTGATAATATTTTCTTTTATTTTCTTACATATCTTTAAATTGCGTTGTGTTTTCGCGTTCGTTTGATAGAAAGCGAAAGGTAGGAAGAAGGTCAGAGAGTAACGACAATGTGGTAGAGTTTTCGCGAGTAGAGAGGAATGAGATCTTCAGTTGGTTAAAAGTTGGCAAGAAAGGATGATCGAAGGTAAGAAGAAGAAAAAGAAAAAAAATATGAGTAAGAGTAAGAGTAAGACTAAGAGGAAGCGGAAGAGGAAGAGGAAGAAGAAGATATAAGGAATATTGGTCGTTTGACAAACAGAGAGAGGGAGAAAGAGAAAGAGAGTAAGAAAGAGAGAGAGTGGTTACTACGAGGTATGTTCGTGGTGAGATACGAGAAAGGGTTCCAAGCCTGACGTGGAAATCTAAATCGGCGAGAGTGCTCCGTACTCGGCTTGCCGCACAATTACCGGGCGGCGAGTGTCGAGGAACCCCCTTTTATATTAATAGTTGAGATAGTCGAGCGTGTCGGTGCGATGAGGGCCAACCAAAGAGGGAAGAGCGAGTGAGAGAGAAAGAGAGAGAGAAAGAGAGAGCTAGGAGGACGAGAGGGAGGAGAGGATGTGTCGATGGCGAGGAACGAAAAGGAGAGGGAGAACGAAGAAAAGGGAAGGAGGACGCACTATCGTGAGTCACGAAGAAGAGAGAAAGAGAGAGAGAGAGAGAGAGGGTACGAGAGGGGGCCTCGAAATGATAGATAGGAGGACGGGATACCGTGGACCCCTTACGACACCGTTGTTTCAGTTTCAGTTCGCGATGGAGGCTACTTGCTCCTTTTAGCTGGTACCACTGTGACTCTCTTCTGTTCACGAAGGAAAAGAAAGAGAAACAGAAAGAAAGAGAGAGAGAGAGAGAAAGAAAAGAGGGTAAAAATTGTTACTAGAGGGTGGTTAGTCCCATGTGAATGAGATAAAGTAAACGCGTTTGAGAAGAAGATATATATGTAGGAGTACGGTAGCACGAATTAGTTTTGAAGATTTCTCGAAGGGTTGCCTTTGTTAAGGGGTGGGAATAGTGGTTCTTAAGAAAATCATTGAACGTAAAAAGAAAGAAAGAGGTCCTGAGTAATAGATTGAGACAAAACACGGAGGTAGCCGGATGTTGGACGGTGCAGTGATTCGATTGATTCACTGAAGAGTGTTCGTGGCTTCCACCGAACTTCCGAGTGCCGCGTTAAATGCGTGAGCGTACGGGCATATGTGTGACTCGTCCTATGGTAGCGCCGGTCGTACAACATACCGTGATAGCTTTGGCTAATATCGTGTGCGACCACACGCCGAGAAAGCTCCGCCTGGTGGAGAAGGACCACGAGAAATAAAGAGAAACACAAAGAGAGAAGAGAGAGAAAAGAGAGAGAAAAGAGAGAAGAAAGAGAAAGACAGAGAGAGAGAAAGACCAAAGGTGGTGATGGTTTAGTGGTGGTTGGTGGTCGTGGTGGTCTTTCAAGACGCGAGGAAGGTATTGAAAAATAAATTCCCTTTTTTTTTATCTCTAAATATTTTAAAGTGCTTCAAATACTTCTATCCTTCGTATAGGACAAACAAATTTTGATAAAGCATAGAAATACAAAATGTATATATCAATAACTTTATTAAATTTCTATAAATAATAATAACTTTATTTCATTTTATTAATTATATTAATTGATTATAGCTTGAAATAAAATATCGTATTACCGTAAAGAATAATCGTGTAGATTAAAAAAAATATCGTAATATTATATATATTTGCAAGAGATCATTAATTTCCTTTCACATTAGAAGACACAATTTCTTATGAAAAGAAAAAGTATCTAAACGAGTTGTGATAAAGTAACGAATAAAGAAGAATAAGAAAGCGGGAAGAAGTTTAACGGAGAAACTGCAAACGAAATGAATAAAGAGAGAGAGAGAGAGAGAGAGAGAGGGAGAGAAAAAGAGAGAGAAAAAGAGAAAGAGAAAGAAAAGCCGAAGGCGTGCAAAGTAGGATGACATTGTTTGCACCCGTGACGTCACTCGTAATTCTAACGAACAATGAAAGTGCACGCGTGCATGAGCGCATATTCGCGTTGCCGCGACCCGGAGTTTAGGGTTACTCCTCTTCGAATGAGGATGGCCAAGATTGCTTCTACTTTTCTTAGATGAAAACAACAATAGACATTTCATTAGCTCTTTTCTTTGAAATCTTTTATTTGTTCAAGATAAGATTTTCGTTGATATCTCTGAGAGTTTCGCTAATAATTTAAAAAACCAATGAACAAATTTTTTTATTCAAAAGCATGTCGATATTAGACATTCGATGCTTTCTTGTATTTCTCTATTTATTGCAAAGCGATGTATATTAAATTACATTGATAAATGTTTCTCTATCTAATAAAGTGTCAAATGTTACAATGAAAAATGTTTCTGTATCTAATAAATTAATCTTGTTTTCGTTTGCATTAGAGATAACAATATTTGCGATAAAAAAGATATAGTATCATGTGGAAGTATATTATGTAGTAAAGAGCAACGTGTAAATGTCGAATCATTTCTACTATTTCCAAGTTATTACTAATAATAATAATGTATATATATATATATGTTTAAACGGGAGTCTAGAGCCAACGACAGTCTCGTTGCAACCACGACGCTGTGCAGATGCATTTTATCTGTGTGAAAGGGCTTTTTGTATGTATGTAGATATACATATTTGAAATTGATTAGTGAAGAATATATGTAATCAAAATAATCATCTGGCGACCACAACAAAGACAAGAGATA